AAACTGCTTATTGTTTAAGCTCTTCATCTACTTGTGAAATAAACAGGTCAAAGAAATCATTTTTGTAGAAGCATCAATAATAGTGGATACAATCCACTGGAGCTCAGTTTTCTATCTGGAATAAAAATTAAAGATATAATAATACGATTTTTCATCCGAGCACAGCTTTAACACACAATATGAGATTGTAATGATGGAACCCATAAAGGCTCTGTAGGAGAGGGGAGGTTAAGAGACCGCAACACCTACAAAGAAAATCCCTGACTGACTCACAGAGGAACGACCGCTTTGAACAAAAAGGATTGAAAAGGGGAAAAAAGGTTGGCTTGTTTGTTTGTTTGTTTGTTTGTTTGTTGGTTTTGTGAACCCACAAAGCAGCTTATATCATCTCTAGAACCCAGAGAGATGAACAAAAGGAACAAAAACATCAAAGTGATCTAAAATAGCCTGGAAGCATTTAGAGTAATTTAAATATATATTTTGTTTTGTTTTAAGGTGTGATTTATTTAAAGCGTTTGGTGCACATTAGCTCTTGAAACGTCTGACACATGAAACAATACAAACTCCCCATCTATTTTTTTATTATTCGCCAAAGTTTGAACGGCGTACACCTCCGATTATATCACATTGAAGTCTTGTCTAAGGTCAAACGTGTATTAAATCCAGATTTACATGTAAATTAGTAGAGGGCATTAGGTACGCAGCAGCAGGTGAACAAGGGGGATCAGGTTTTGTTTGAGAGAATGGTTTCCCCTGAGGGTAAACTGCTGTTATAGCCAAGAGTCTGACCTCTGAATGCACATATCACGGGCCTTACATCTGTGAGAGGAACCAAATCAAGTGCACCAGCAGCTACGTAGAGTAACACTTCATAATAGAAACCATATTACACTAAGTTCATTAACTTCTGTAATTACCCGAACAGGGCAAATGAGTAGATCTATTAAAATGACTCTTAAAACTAGAGAACGGCCTCGAACAGACTAAAGCTCAAACTAAACGGCGGTAAAAAGGTGCAAGGTATCAAGTGGAGCTGAGCAAAAGTTGCAGAAAATATCAGTCGCCACTTCCTGCTAATGAGCAAGGAAACAAAAACAAAAAAAAGAAGGATGAGTCATTGCATCATAACACCAGCGTTCTAACGATGATCGGTGTCGGACTGTGGTGTCAGCATTGAAGCTTATGGGAGATAAATGGAGAAGCACACAAACACATCTACGATGTACGATCTGCGCTGAACAGATGCCTCGACCAAATGAGAGAACGTCAGAGAATAGGTTTCTCAGAATGTGCGCATTCATTTATTTACTGTCTACAAAGGCATACTCTACAGGGGCTCATGGCGAGTCACATAATGCTCGCCATGGCAAGGCAACCCCTTAGTTATAAAACAACTTATATGTTGTGGTTTTACAGCTAAGGGGTTGTTTACAGCCTACCAGTGCACAATTAATAAGGACATTTGTCAATGCTTTCTTTGAATAAATGATATTCCCATAACATCAGATCACATTAGGCCTGTCAAACCTCGTAAAGCAGCCAAAGGTTTGAAGTAAAAGAAAGAGAGAAGGACGAAGAATACAGATTTTGCTCACAATATTTATCTTAAACTCAAAAACAAGGGACATTTCAATGCAAAGTATGCCTATCTATGCCCATATGGCCATCTGTGGATACAATTTGTAGGCCGACAGCAAAAAAAAAACCTAATCTAAACAACACAAATCTACAAGTACAGGATAACTAGCATATGTTTATGGTTTCCCTGCTTATTACTCAAACGCCATCAAACCTTCAAGTCATGTCCAAATTGTGACTCACTGCATCATTTGTCAATCATCCCCCACATAGTTAGCCAGATGTTGCTGTCAGCTCCTGGGGGATGATAAATGACACGAGTCGCGGCTAAAGTGGTTGGAATGGAAAACACATGAATGGTTGCAAGCGGCGAGTATCAAACTAAATATCGCAATAATACGACGCAGGCAGTCAAGCACCTTCGCCTCGCTCTCCCACGCGGAGCAGCGTGTTAAGCAGTGTTCCTCGCAGCGGCAGCGGCATATCGAGGGGATTATTCACCTTTATTCAGAAAGGACCATAGGTCTTCGGTGCACAAAGCCTGGCCTGTGTGGGTCCTATTTCATTTTTTCCTGAAGGCTGAAAGGCCCAGCAGCAAAGCAAATAAAGTGGAAGCATAACAGCATCAAATAATAACCCCTGTGTTTTGGTTGAACACACAAAAGGCAGGTGTTTGCAGTACACACAGGAGATATAGAGGCTGAGGTGCATATCATCCAGACAACATCCATGCTAACTCCCTCCCAGTTTTTCGCTCGACCTACACTACGCTGCCTCGTGTTACATAAGCCAAACATGGCAGCTGTTAATGAGATTCACAGGGATTCTTGGGGCCGTGATTCCAGCATGAACAAAGGGGAATATTTCAGGCCTAAAAACCAGGGTGTTTTATGTCTGCATATCCAGTCTGGCAACTTCACCTGATACCAAAGCCAGGGGGGGGGCAACATGCATCTTATGAAAAGAAACAAATCTTCGTTGAGACACTCTGCTTTCATTCAGGCTCTAGTTACACCTGGAGAATGAATCTTATCTGATCTTGGGATTGGATTGTTATATTGCATACAAAGCATCACACCAACGGGATACAATGATGTCAAATTATTAGATTCTTAAGCACAAGCCCTAAAAAAACATCGCTGCGTATGAGCCGTTCAAAAGAGACAGCCTGTGTTTACCGCACGCTGCTCTGTCTTCTTCTTTTCTCATGACAACAGGACTTGAAATAAAAAACAGATTGAAAGATATTTTTCAAATTCTCTCAGCTTCTCCTTCTGCAAATTGTCATAGATGAGTTGACAGAACAGCACTTCCTTTTAGTCTTATATTTGCAGTATTTTTCAACTGTACTCAAATGGTACATCCGCAAAGCACGCTAGGAAGAAAGAAAAACACAGACGAAGGTGAAAATCAAAACTAAGTCAACCATTAAAAGCCAAGTCTTTCGAAGGGAGAGAAATTAAATGTCTGGTTGAATTGACCTGGCTGATATCACCGCGCATGGCGAACAAATCGAGTTGGCCACCTTCTAAATTGTACTCAGCCACATTAATAGAAGGTCAACACTACGAGGCAAAGTCAAAGCAAAGCCAGCAACTAGCAGTGCATTGAGGTGCAAGTAAGTAAGTGACTATACATTATATAAAGCCACTCTGCAGCTTCGCTCTGCCAGCTCTTGACAAATTGAATTTGTACAAGTGGATAATGACAAATGCTTCCTGTGACTAAGCATGACTGATTGCATTTTCAGACTCTGCCATGCCAAAATGCTAAACTACTATTACAGCGGACCGCATTTCACACTCCTGGTGTTAGGATAGTTAGTTGATGTACGTCCTTAAATGACATAAATACTCTCTCGAAAACAGTAAGTGTGATGTAACGTATGTCATTTGGAGGAAGCTATTCAAAAATGTAACACAACGCATGGTGGACAAAGCACTGTCTGACACATAAGCTACACAATAAGTCTACTTCAAATCTAAAACCATCCTGACACACTCAACCTTACTGTGTCACTATTAGATATATCTGATTGGGAGTTTGACTGGAATAAGGATATTTCCAGGATAGTTTCCCACACAACAACAGTGCAAAAAAACAGGCGTCAACAATGTTACAGGAAGCATAAAACTACAAACTACACAGACCTTAATGTGCAAAGTTAAACATGGGACAGGTAGCTATCTACACACAACTACCTGAACACATCATTAGCTGTGGTGAAATATGTGGTGAATATTGCTGCTAGTATTTGTGTTATTGTGTTATCTGTTGTGTTTTTTTATTTCTTGTACAGTGTTTATATTATATTATTTTTTTTTTTCATACTGTTTTTTTTTCTCTATCCACTTTGCTGCTGTAAGATTGGAATTATTAAAGGAATATCTCATATAGTCAACTTTCATTACAATGAGAGAGGTTGGCTGAATAGAATATGCAGCCCATATGCATCAATCACACCAATAAAAGATTACCTTGCTCGGGATCCTCAGGTTCTCCACAGGGCTGAGGTCTGCCATGCTTTCTTGGGGGCTTTTCAGGCCCTGTCAAAATAAGAGTCGGTGTTAGACTTCAAAACTCCCAATAAGTGACTAACTCTGATAACTCTGACGGTAACCTGTTCCCGTGGTCACACACAGCAGCTTGCAATTCATCAGCATAAAAAAAAGTGGAACCGACAGAGAGATTTATGAAAGCGATACGCTCTGTTGTGTCCATTGGTGAACCAATGTGGTTCAAGAGTCTAACATTACTGCAGTGCAAACTGAGAACTTCCCTAACCGCCCACTTCCCACTGCTGTTGTGCTTGACTGAGGGGGAACTCTCACAACCAGGAGGTAGTTTTAACTGCCCCTATCTAGTATTTACTTCATGCGGGGCAAATAGTTGGTATGTGTGATACAGTCGTTTAAAAAAAAGCCGCTGTTACTCGAGCTGAATGTGCCCTTTAATGAGCCCCACGATGAGCTGTCAAATTAGCCACTTAGCTTAGCTCGCTGCCATGCTAGCTCCCTGCAGCTGTCAGAGACAAGCGGCCAGCAGCTCAGCTCCTGTGGACTGAATATCTCACCTGACGGGCCATAAGGGACTTTATCTTCTGCATCCTGAATCCAACTTGTGTCGGCGGACAAATGAATGAATAAAGTTACAGTTTTGTTTTGTTGTCAACGATGCGCCTCCATCACTACGAGAAGGAAGCCATAGTTGACCGTCACGTGACTTGCGTGGCAAGAACCGGAAGATGCCAAAGCACCCTGGGAAATGTAGTCTTGTATGTGTTTTGTTTTTCTATTAAGTTTGTGTTTAAGTAAGTTATTTTTTCACTAATCTGTGTATACATATATTTTACACCTGCTCTGGCAATGTAAACACATGTTCCCCATGCCAATAACGCCCATTTGTATTGAATTGAATAGTTTCTATTTATTATTTATTTATTTTTATTTTATTTAGTGCTTGTGACCTTAACTGACTGGATCTCAAAAATGTAAAAACTAAAAATATTTAGGTTAAATTGATAACACATATATGTTGTTCTGAATACAAATATAAAAAATATATTCAAAAGTGGTGGAAGAAAAATAAGATTAACTGTGATACATACTGCCTCACACCACTGGATGGTAGTAATTTAACATCACAGAATAGAAATGGAGCAGAATATTTAACAGCAGTGGTTATTTTGCCTCCCTGAAAACTGTTACTCTCCCTCTTTGTTCTATCAGTCAACTGTGGGTGTCGGGTGAGACATTTTTGCACATTACACACGATTATAGATTAAACTTCCCAACGGTACAGGCTATAAAGTAGTTCAAATTTGCCTCTCCTGTATCAGCTACAACATAAAAATGCTGCTTACACGTTAGTGCATCAGTTATAATAGTACAGTAGTATAATATACTTTATAATGATTCACTGACAGGGGCCATTGCTTTGGAAAATCATTATTTTTACTTTTATATATAAAGTACATTTTTGAGTGCAGAACTTTTACTTATAATTGAGTATGTTACACTGTGCTATTTTGATCTAATTTAATTATTCTAATGTCTGTAACTTTCTGTATGTGTATTGCATCCATAGCATATTGTTGTTTACATATGGTAAATAGCAAACCTGTCTAAGACCAAACAATATCTATTGTTTACACATGGTAATTAAATAGATATTGTTTGGTCTCACACAGGTTAAGGTTAATAATATACAGTTTTGTTTAATTATTTTTTGTGTGGCTGCATTATTTTAGCAAACCACATTTGCTTTTGTGATCAAGACAGATCATGACATCATATCATGCCATCCATGCCTCAGTGCCATGTAGCCAGGTAAGCAATTACACCTGGCTCTGCACTGTAAACTGTTCAAAATAATTACAAAAACAGTGCATGCAGACCCATTTACTGCTTTGTAATTGCCTCATTGGGTGTTATTTCGAGCAGCGCTTGGTTAAAGGCAGGCAGCATGCAGCAGACAGCAGGCACTAGAGCTCCAGTTCCTGGTTAATGATGCCTCAGGCTATTTCCCAGTCAAATGAAGGTGAGGTCAATCTCCTTAGGTGAATTTACTTCACTGTTGTTTGTTAGGCAGTCATCCACAGTGCGGAGCCTCCTTTAAAGCATACACTGAGACGGAACAGATGGCAACCCCTACCCGGAGATGCCACCACAAAGACACAGCACACTGAGCTGGTCGCTTCATAAGTTATAATTAGAGCTAGATTCAATAAACTGCTTGTTGTTATGCAAGGGAGCATCACGATGAGCAGCACTTTATGACTCAGTGTGAGGTTCTTGACAATGTATCTTTAACCAGGGAACAAGTAAAGACATACTTTTGTAAAAATCAGGCTTGTAGAACAATGAAATACTTTCATCAGGGTCATTTATTTGTGAAATCCCTTCAAACTCACCTTTTTTAAAACTTCTTTTGGGAACAAGCCATCATGATTCAATTTTAAAAGTTACTAGATGAGCTAGCTCGTGAATTTTTACAGTTTTTGTGTTACTGCATTGGACATGAATTTAATTAGAAGCCTCTGAACAATGGAGGACAATGTTTTGTTAATAAGCAGACTGCTGTTTTTAAGTCATACATTGTACAAGGTGGAAAAAAATAATAGAAAACTAATAGATTTTGACTTCTGTTTTCTTGACAAAACACTTTTGTATCTGGTTCTTGCTTGTCTGTTTTGTTTCCCTCGACATGCCTCTCTTCTCTCTTTCACACACATACACACAGAAAAACAAGCACACACATTTTTATCTACTCGTGACAAGGTGTCAGCAGGAGCAGGTGGAGGGCATTCTGCCACATGCTGAACCATCCGTCTGTTGCTGCCTGTCTCCATAACACGCCAGGTACACAGCATACCAACACAACAAAGCTGAGAGAAACAAGCACTGTGCAGCCATTTAGAGACAACACGTACAACTCAAACACTTTGTGAGAAGAGAGATCACAGCCAAGACATCAGACAAAGACTGACTGTGAAGAACAACTGACATCTCAGCTATGTTTTTTTGTCAGGATCTGTAATTAAGAAAGTGTTCATTTCAAGCTCTGACTTCTTTTGCCATTCTATGAAAAAGACATAGAGGAGAAGTAAAATAAATGCAGAAATGGCAGAATGAAGTACATTTTCTTCACATGGTTGTAGGCAACAAACACATATTTAAAAATGACCCGGAATAGTAAACAGTTATATATTTAATAAAGTAGAAAACAAACATGTGAATGCAAACTGTACAATCATTTATGAATCATTAATTACTTTACTTGTTTCAGCATTTCATTATATCCATGTTGAGCAGAGGAAATGCTACATTTGTGGAAACAGGGTTTCTATAGGAATAAATAGATTTGAGCAAAACATAGAAATAGAATAAAAGGTATAAAGAATCTGCAGTATAATAATGTACAATATTTACACTTATATATTTCATACAAGAAAAATCATTCATTATAACACTTGTCTTCTCACAAAACAGACTCTCCTTGGCAGGAATGTTAAATTAGAAAGATGTTAATGAAATGGCAAATAAAACCTTTTTTAAATTAAACACATGTTTTAAATAGTAATCAAGATATGACCATTTGTAGGTACCTTATAAGAGCTTATAATAATATGAATAATGGCTACTACTAACTTGCTTGGTTTAATATGATTTTGAACAAAAAAGGCAAAACAGTGTCAACTTCAGTTAAACTTTCACATTTTTAAAAAAGTCAAGCCACACATACACTTTCATCTCACAATAATGTCAGCAAAAGACATTTAACAACAATAACAGTGCACGATCAGGTTGTGTACTCACACCAGTCCCGTTCATCCCTTGTGCAAAAAATGGGCCAACAAAACCAGTGTTTTGAGAGAATAAAGCTACACGGGAGTCTTCAAGTGAAATCACTGTAAGTTACAGCTCCGCTCTTCAACTAGAAGTTACTGCAGCAAACTGTGACTAGGGGTTTCAGGAACGTGTCTGATCACATCGTAGATGGTGGTGTGCATATCCTGAACTGACTCGAGGCGAGCCAGAGATCTGCATGATGCCTGCAGGACAGGTGCATAGGAAAATTAAAATTAAAACTACAAGCAACTGTTGTAATCCATGTCTGTTGTAATCCATATCAATCTGCAACATGTCAAATACCTGTGCAGACTCCATTTTCCCGGGTATGGAGACAAACTCGTAGATGCCAAAGTCTTCTGTTGCATCCTCGTGACCTGTTAATGCACAGGTTTCCACGTCAGACCAATTCTTAAGTTACAGTGCATTAGTGAGCCTATCTACTCTGAGTCATACTTTACAGTACCATAATGAATGTAATCACACCATAAAACCTGCTTTTCAGTTGAAATCAATGAGGCATCCTGACCCTGTGTACTTTTCTGCTTTGGGCTCCTCCAATCTTAAACTAGTTTTTTCAGGAATGACTTTCAGTGTAGTGGAAAGATGGTAAGATATGTGTAAATATGGGCGCCTGGTTAGCTCAGTCGGTAGAGCTGGCAACCCATGTACTGAG